GGTCATGAGTTCAAATCCCAGCAACCACATGGTGGCTCACAACCATCTGCAATGAGATCTGATGCCCTCTTGTGGGGTGTCTGAAGACAGCTATAGTGTACTTATAATAAATAAATAAATAAATAAATAAATAAATAAATAAATAAAGTTTAAAAAAAAAAAAAAAAAAGAAATGCTTTCCTGTGTTTCCCCTTCATCCATGGTTTCACTGTTTGTGGGTCTGTCACCCATGGCAGCCATGGTCTAAAAATATCAAATGGAAAATTATAGAGAGAAACATTTAAGTTTTAAAAGCATGCTGTTTTTGTGTCACAGGGCAATGTTGCACTGGCCTGCTCCATCCTGCTTTGACTCCCATGGGATGTGCATGTGTCTCCACTGAGCACGTCTACCTTGTAGACACTGTTCACCAGGTTGTAGCTGGCTTAACTCTCACATTGACTGCTGGAGTGTCTTAGTGCTGTGTTCAAGGATCGTTCTCTTACTTAATAATAGTGCCAAAGGACAAGAGTTTTGAATAGAGCAATTTGTACATGGCAAATTGAAGCCACAGGGTTTTTTCTTTAAGGTTAAAAGGTAAAAGTTCTTGATCTGATAAGGTAAAAAAAAAAGCCCATCATATATGGAAAATTTGGTGCTATACATGTTTTTATTGATCTACTGGGCGTTGTGTTTTATAAAACGGCAGAGGGGAGTGCCTCAGCAGGCCCCACCAAAGTGTCCCTCTGAGCAATCAAGCCATGTGACAGGCCTACTATAAAAGGAAGTTTATTGAGACCAGGAGAGGCAGAGGCAGAGGAGGGAGGAATACAGAGAAGAACATAGAGAGAGAGGAGAGAAAGAGAAAAATGTGAAGAGGCTGGCTAAAGACATGTGGGAAAGATAGAGGGAGATGGAGAAAGGAAAGATGGAAAGAGAGGGGGAGAGAGAGAAAGAGAGAGAGAGAACAGTCCTTCTTATAGGTGAGCCAGGCTCGGCTCCTTCCAGCTGTTGAGTGGAGCCTAGAGGAAATGCTAACACTGGGAACCTAGTAACTATCACTCATGGTTAGGGACAAATCTTGTGTTGATTTCCTAAATGAGTAGTTGGTAGTAACCAACTCACTGCTAGCTAAACATTATAACAATATCTCAGTTCCTTAACCTAAAATTTGCACACAAATACACAAGTACTGAAGAAAGCACAAATAGATAAATCGTTTGACATTGTTGAACATGCATTTATCAGGATATCTGGAAATGTTAATTAAATTAGAATTGTATAGGTTGTAACTTCTTACAAATATTATAGATCTATGATTGTATTATCTATTTTCAAGCTAATTACATGAAATAAGTCAAGCCTCTAATAGACTGTCTTGCAGTTTGGAGTATGTAGACTTTTTCCCATCATGCACTGAAAATCAGAAATGCGGTTAATTTATGGCGACTATGAAGATTGATATATGCTGTGATTACATTCTAGGCTGTGGACTAGATCTATGGATCTGTTCAGTTCAGGGGCATTTTTTTTTCATCAGACTTTCACAGATATCTGTAAAGCATGAATGTAAAGAAGATAGTGTAGTATTACAATAAATGGAATAACTTGTCTGAGTGGTAGCTGCAGCTTCCAAGCTTCTATTAACATTTGTTGGTAAATTCCAAAACAACCAACTTCATCTTTTTTGAATGTTAAATTGAAATACTCTTCTACCATGAAAGCAATTTTTTAAATAAGGAGAAATATGTATGTGTTTGTGTGTGTGTGTGTGTGTGTGTGTGTGTGTGTGTGTATGTGTGTGTGTGTGTATGTGGTGTGTGTGTGTGTTGGGAACTATATGTCTTGTGGAGGCAAACACAGCCACTCCTATTATTCTTGGGGAATGAGTTTAAAGACACCCATGGGTACCAATTCTGCAGACACTCAAGATGATATACAAAAGGCTTATTGATTTCTTATAACTTTAGCATATCTCCTATATTCTTTGAATCATCTCTTAATTACCTGTCATAGCTAATATGAGGTAAGTAGTTCTTGTAATATTTAGGGAGTAGTGATGAGGAAAACTCTGCACATATTCATACAGATGCAAATTTCTGTAGAATTTCTGAGCTAAATTTAGTTTAATTTACCAATAAAGAATAGCTATAGACTGACTATATTATTTTATATGGAATTTTAGTTTTTCTTCTGTTGTTACTATATATGTGTGTGTGTAGTTCTTAATACTTTGGTCTTTTGTCTGTCACAATAAATATATGCATATATTAAATATATTTTAAATCACAGTTTGGCATGCAGGTGTACCCTAAGCCACACATATACATATTTATAACACAAAGAACAAGAAGAGAAATAAATATTACAATGCAACAAGCGGTGCTCTTGCCAAGAATTCATAAGATGTTCAGTTACTTGTTGCACAGGATAACCCATAATAACAAAGCGGCTAACAAACAACAGAGGGACGGGATGAGTTAGACTTTCTTTTCTTTCTGTCCAGTAGTGAGGCATGGGTGTTCCAGAGCTGACAGGCTCAGTCTGTTTCAACATGTGCTTCTCACCCATAGTTTCAACTTGGGCTACCATTTTCTTCAGTTGGGAGGATGACGGGTACATATGTCCATTCTATTTTGGGTAAGAGTCCATGCCAGTGCCTCATCCCTGCTGACCACTCAGCAGCCAGAGCATGGGCACACAATTAATCTAGTTGAAAAGAGACTGAAAGCACAAGATATCTGTTTTGTCAGCGGGAACCAGCTGAAACCCGGAGTTCTGTATAGAAGAAAAAGGGCATTCAGATACCTGTGGGCAACTAGATTCTGTTATTGTGTGACTGATACACACTTTCTATTATCTCTGAAGCAAACATTGTTCTTCTATTGGAATAAGGAATTAACCAGATGGATTAATGTACCTTTCCCCATGTAAACTAATAATACTACATTTTGCCTTTAAAAGAAAATTAGAATTTTCATAATATATTTGAATAGACACAAATTAAATAAAGTACTTCACCAAGTCCTGGGGCAAAAATTTACCAAATAGTAAATTTAACATCATTTTGAAGGGATACCACTTCTGTGTTTCAGACTGTTTGAGAATTAGTGTATGCACCAGAGAAAATATAGTGATTTACAATTTTACTCTTGTCTAATGAATTTAACCAACACCTCTTTAAGCTTTTTTATACATTAAGTGATAAGAACAGGTATTAAACTGGATCTCAGCCAAAAGACTAAGGCAGGATAAATACTTTCTTTATTAATACAAGTTCTTAATGTCAAAATATAAAACAAACAGCAATTTCCATCTTTTGCACGGGAACCTTATCATATACAATAATATTTGATTAAATTGTGAGTCTGGTTTTTTCCTAGTATTTTGAAATGTACAGATCTTAGAGTACATGTCCAGTGTATATATATCTTGCATAAGTGTCACTCTCCAGGTAAGGAAGGAGACTTTACAGATAACCAAACCCACTGCAGGACACTTTGCAAGAAGACTAATTTGAGTTAGTTGAGCAAAAGGAAAAGCAACTTGTTTTCTCAGATGATAAAATATGTCATTCTTAAAACATGCTCGTCTTATGTTTCCAACCAACCTTGTGCTAAAACTTTTGTAGGCTGCCATTGGCTCTGTGGCTCTGGACACGGCAAGATCTCATGGAGAGAAACAGCTAGAAAGCTACGGGATGGATGTGCTGACAGTGGCATTTTTGGCCATCCTCATTACAGCACCAATTGGAAGCCTACTGATTGGTTTACTGGGTCCCAGGGTTCTTCAGAAATCTAACCGTCAAAACGAAGAGGAGGTTCAAGGAGAGACTTCTACTGACGTTCGGCGGTAAGAAAAAGTGCTGACCGTAATGGCTAGAGAACTGTTTCTGAACCTAAGTGTATCAGGATGGAAACTGAAATAGACAATGCTGAGGTTTGAAATGTATTAGAGCCAAACGCAATTCACAGTCTATAAACAAAGGAAAGACTAAGGTCCATAGCTTCATCTGCTCCCTAGAAGTTGCTTTCAGTTACTGTTGTGTTATTTATATTCTTTTGAGACAGGGTCTCAGTATATAGTCCAAGCTGGCCTGGAATTTGTGATCCTACTGGTTAAGGCTCTGGAGCACTGTGATTATGGGTGTGCACCACTGCACGAAGACCAAAATCAGTTTGTTTTTAGGGAATTGATATGAAATTGGACATATCTTTCCTCTCACTTATATTGATAACTTTATCAACTGTAAGGAGATGGGAGTCTCTGAGTCACCTATAATAATAAATAATAAATAATAAATAAATAAATAAATAAATAAGTCTAAAAGATAAAAGACTTGAAGGCCAGAGATGCCATTACATTGAGTGTTTCTGCCATTTAACATCATGTCTTACTAGGCATGGTGAATTATTTCTGTAATCCTATGGAGCTTTTAAAAAGGGAGAAAACTGCCAGGGACCAGCCTCAGCTTGGAAGGGTAGGAAGGGGTCCTGAAGAAGGGGTATTTGGGAACAGCTCAATTGTAGGGTATAAGCTAACAGCCTTGTGTTCTGCTCCTTGCTGGCTTTCCAGACAGCTCAGCTCTGGAAGGCCAGAGTCCAGTCTTTTGTTTACGTATCAATTTAATTGTCCACTCCAGGTTCCCTTTTGACTATCAGCATTTTTATGACCTTAGCCCCTTGATTCTTAGAAAAAGACAGCAAGCCCATTTTTAACATAGCAATGAATCTGCCTGCCTTTGTAAGCACAGACAATAAGGTAGCTGGATGAATGTGGCACTGAGATCACTATTCCTGCCATGCCTGGGCCTAAACTAGTTCTGTCCCAGGCTGACCTTGAACTCAGGAATCTGCCTATAAGCACAAGCAATAAACTTAGCTGGGTGGGATCTTGCCCTGCAGTCACCACTTCACAAATCTCTGTATCTCCTTCTTTAATATCTTCTGATAAGCTGGCTCCTAGTGCAGCTGCCTCTGTTCTTTTAGGTATCTGAAGCCCCTCATATATTTCATATTGCATCCTTATATTTTGGAGAGTTGAGAAATCCTGCTTTTGTGTTTTTGAACTCATGGTTTTAGAGTTCTTTCCCGTGGCCTTAAGGGCTACGGCTGAAGGTCACAACATTTACCACTTTGCTAAGAACATTAGACATATCCTTGTTTCCCAAACTTATGCTGTCTGTGATTCTCAGGGGGTCATTAACCTTGGCAGAGAGGACATTCCCTGATAACCTTGGCAGAGAGAATATTTTCTGAAAGAAGAACATGAAGTAAATTATGTGCATTACTATACAAACCAGCCCCACGCCCATGCAACCATCAGCACCCGTGAAGGCCAATGTATTCCTGGCTCTGCTCCAGTGGTGGGAAACTGTGTGATGCCATAGCAGAAAATAACCTTCAGTCTTCATAAACATATTCACATCAAGCTGAGGGCAGATCAGTACTATAATAAAAAAGACACATTCTCACTGTCACTGCAAAACTGTTACAGTTTGAATTAGACCTTGTATTGGTCAGGTTTTCGTAGCTATCACCCAATACCTGAAACAATCAATTTCTAAAGAAGACATCTTAAGTTATAGTTTTAAAATGGCTGGTTAGCTCCATTGCTTTTGAGCCTGGGATAAAGGAGAGCAGTGGCAGAGAGTTTGAGATAAAGGAAAGCTGCTCACCTCATGACCAGTAACCAAAATGAAAGTAAGCCAGGATTGCCAAATCCCTTTGGGGCACATCCCCAGGAATATAATGCCTCCCACCAGGACCCAGTTCTTATAGCTTCTGTCACCTCCCAGTACAACCAGCCCTTTAGGATATGGGCCTTTAGGGGAACAATTTAAATCTAAGCCAAAACAGACCTGTAATGACGAATTTAAAAAGGAGCAGGACCAGCAAGGTAGGTAGACCAGCAAGGTAGATCGGGAGGTAAAGGCGCTTGCTCTAGAGCCTGACAATCTGAGTTTGATGCTGGATCTAATATGTCAGAAGATGAGAACCATTCCATCAAGTTATCCTTTGACCTCTGTAGGTCACATTGTGGCATGCAAGCACATATGAGCATGCATGCACACAATATATGATAGATAGATAGATAGATAGATAGATAGATAGATAGAAAAAGCACAATGTAACATTGTAACAGACAGGAGTAAAAGCTGTTTTGTGTCAGGAAAAAGGTAGAAAATGCACTTGTCCTTCTAAGTAGTTTGGGCTTTTCCAATAATAGTTGTTTTCCTCTATTTTAGGAAGCCTGGGGATTCCATCACTGAAGCCTGATGGACCACATTTACCATCCCAACCCATCGACCAGGACAACTTTACTTCCCTTTGACTCAAATGAAAAATTTCCCATGGAAACTTCATAAGCAAAAAAATAAGAAAGCTTTATACTGCTGACAGTACCTCAGGTGTGTACTTCCTGAGAAAGACTGGAGGACGGGTTACTTCAGAAAGTGAGAGAAAGTAATTTGGAAAAATAAAACATTCATGATTTTGTTAAAATCTTGATACATTTCTTCTTATAGTATTAAAAAGTTCTCATAAAAAAACAATGTTTTTTTTTTAATTGGAACTCTGTTGTATTTTTATGAGCATCCAATGCAGTAGGGTTTATTTTTTCTCTGTTTTTTTTTTTTTTAATCTATGTGGAATGAAAATAAAAGCAAAAGTGTGTAAGAAAAGAAGGGGAGGGGGAGGGAAGAGGTCAGAAGAGGAACACTAACAATTCGGGGCACAGGCCAATGTACATATATATTAAAACATTTTTGATTAAAAGAATTTTAAAGTGCTGTACTTTAACAAAAGCTGAGAATATAGAAGAGTAAGAAAAGTAGGAGATCCTGAAATTTAAAATAAAAGATATGCTGTTTCTTAGGGGAGAACAAAACCAAGCTATAGAAATTTCCCAATTAATACAAATCAGCTCAAAGGACTGTTTTTTTGTTACTGTTATTGTTTTTGGTTTTGTTTTCTGGTAGAACAAGAAGAGTTAATAGAACCGATCTAAAGTACAGTTGTTAAGCAACTCTTACCACATTTCCAGATGTTCTTCCGTTTGCTCAAAATAGTTGTAGGCTATCAGTGTTTCTATGCACACATGTATGATGTGTCTGATACACAGAGTTCCCATTATGATTTATTCTAAATGTATTTCTTCCAGTACGGATTTCTCTGAGACAAGGCATATTTAAACAGACGTATTTAGACATGGATGACATTCTTTTATGGGGGGACGACTCTACCTCCCCCTCCCAACTTAAAGACCAGATAATACCTTCCTTGTCTGCCCTAGGATTCAAAATAGCCCCTCACAAAATCCAACTTATTCTTCCCATTGCATTTTTAGGGACAGAGATCTCCCTTACTTCAATACGCCCCCTCAAACCCACCCTTCCCTTCCCTCAAAAATCAACTCTTGCCTCCCTCCAGAGCTTTTTGGGCAACCTTAACTGGCTTCAACCATGGCTCCACCTTCCCACAAGCACACTTCAACCCCTCTTTAACCTCCTGAAAGGAAATAAAAGTCCCTACTCCCCAAGGACACTGTCCCCAGACACCGTCCAAGCCCTAAAATCTGTCAATTCATCCCTAAAAGATATGGCTCTTGCTAGATATGACCCAACAATACCTGTACATCTCCTTATCTTTAACTCCTCCCCCACCCTTGTAGGAGCCCTTTAACAGCCACAGGGGTGCTGGAATGGCTCCATACCCCGATGGGTGGTGCACCCCGAGTTTTAAATGAAGTGGATGCACTCACTGATATGATTAAAAATGGCAGAGATAGAGCCTTACAAACCCTAGGAAAAGAACCTGACATTCTTGTCACCCCCTTCTCCCTCTCCAATGTTCAGTGGCTAATCAAAAATCATTCCCACTTCACTATCAGCTTAATAGGGTTCCCAGGAAAAATTGACAATCATTATCCTGATGAAAAATGGGCCTCTGCCCTCCCTTTGTTACAATGGCTACCCCCAAAACTATTCTCCAGAGAGCCCATAGCAGGAGTCCCCTCAATATTTACCGATGGGGGGAAGAGGGGAGATGCGGCAGTAATATACTACTTCCCTGAATATGAGCCCCTGATCCTCTGATTCAAAGAGCTCCCCCACCACTCCCCCCAATACAAAGAACTATATGCCATTTACTTAGCTCTAAAGGAAGTCAAAGCCCCCTTAACCTCTTTTCAGACAGTGTATATACTGTCAATTTCCTTCCATGGTTGTCAATATCATTTGTCAAACTAGATGACAACCCACTTTCCCCTCTACTCATATAGGTCTCTGCCCTCCTACAGGAGAAAGCCTCCCTCATCTATATCCAGCACATCCGATCCCACAGTCCCCTGCCAGGTCCCATATCTGAAGGAAATGCACTTAATGACCAAACTGCCTCAACAGGGACATTCATAGCCTCCACTGAACAAGCAGACCAATTTCATTCATGCACACACACACAAATCTAAAGGGGCTTCATGCTCGCTCCCCCACACCCCCCTTGCTCAGCTCCAAAGAATAATAAAAACATGTGCCTCTTGTGCATCCCTTATTACCACGCCAGCTTTACAAACCATGGGCACCAATCCCCGAGGCCTCAAATCTAATGCTTTGTGGTAAATTGATGTTACCCATGTTCCCCAATTCGGTAGACAAAAATATGTTTTTGTCACTATAGATACTTACTCACATTTTATATGGCTACAGCCCAGACGGGTGAAAATTCAAAAAGATTAATTTACCATATGTTCTCTACCTTTGCCATCATGGACATTCCTCAACAGATGAAAACTGACAATGGCCCTGCTTTCACTAGCTCTCAATTTAAAACCTTCTGCGCACGCAGGGAAATTGCCCATCATACAGGAATTCCCCACAACCCTCAGGGCCAAGGAATAATAGAAAGAACACACTGACCCTGAAGGCCCAACTCCTGAAACAATAAACCACCACTTATCCCCCTAATGTACAATTAATGATGGCCCTGGCTACCCTAAACATATTTAACATCTACAAAACCTCCAAATACCCTCCTATTTCCCTCCATTGGCACACACCAAAATTAGTTCCCCCTATCCTGGTATGATGGCGAGATCCTTTAGATAGAATTTGGAAGGGACCAGACCCCCTCCTTACAACCGCGAGGGGTTTTGCTTGTGTCTTTCCACAGGACCAACCCAAGCCTATCTGGGTCCCTGCCAGAAATGTCCAACACCACCCCACCAACCAAGAAGATGGCCTGCCTCTCACTGACAGACCAAGAAGCAAGGAAGAGGAGGAGAAGGCAAAGGAGACATCATGCCCAGAGGAGCAGCAGGATCTCCTGGAAGGACATCCATGACCTATTGACAGCTGCCCAGGCCATGTGCCCTCCGCAAGCCCCCCCCCTCCATTCTCTTGGCAGTTTTTGTCATCCTTCATGCTAACTCTGCTACTGCCCAGCCTCTCCCTAGCCTTCCCAACACCTACCACTGGAGATTCTATGCTAGAGAAACCTACAACAGACACAACAAAGTAATAAGAACCCAGGACTGCCCACTTGAAGGATGTCGAACCAGGATTGAGATCCCCCTACACCCTAAATCCATCTCCACTATCCCCAGCCATTTTCTCTGCTTCCCTTACCAAAACACAGGTGAATGTCTCCATGAGGTTTCCATATATGGAGGTTACAGATATTGGAGCTGCAGGATGGAATCCACAAGCCGTGGTGGCACCATGCTCACCAACCTTAAAACTCATTTTCAGCTTTCCATCAGTGATCCCTGGAACGAACGTTGGCGAACCGGAGTCATGGGTAAACTTTACCCCAATGGCTATGCTAGATACCCAGTAGCTGACCTACATGTCTCCCATGAACTTGTCCCTGCCCCCAAATCTCCCTTTACCCATGCTAATATTATCCAACAGGAAAACCAGTCTCAGGAGGAACTACAAGCTACCCTCTCCTGGCTACAGTACATTCAATATGCAGCGGACCTCCTTCCCTTAACAACCGACCCAAATTCTTCCCAATGCTTTTTCTGTGCCTCTCTCTCCCAGCCGTTATTAACAGCCGTTACCATTAACTTTTCCCTTTATGATCTCCACGGACCCCTGCCTGCGAGGAAATCACAGGATGTTCCTCTCTTTGACCTACCCCCACCTCTTTGCCTTGTAGGGCCCGCCTCAAAAGCCCATCTCACATGTGTCCATGACATCACCATCACCAAATCAGTATGTGTTAGCCCTCCTGCTCTCCTCTGGTGCAAAGGCACTACAGGTGCCTGTATCAACCCTCATTTTCAGGGCTCCTGTACCCCCATGATTGTTGTCCCCCAGGTTTATCTCTATGAATCCGAAGAACTCGCCTTGAAGATAGGAGGAAGCCGAAAGAAGAGAGAAATCTTCATCCCTCTGCTCATTGGACTAGGCCTTGCTGTTTTGCTTGGTGCTACTGGAACTGCTAGAGCAGCCCTTGTCCAAACACAACATCTGGCTGGCGACTCCCAGGACAAGTTTGACCAGGAAATGGACTCTACTATGGACAGCCTTGAATCCCTTCAACCCCAGATAACCTCTTTAGCAGGAGTAGCTCTCCAAAACCGGAGGGCCCTGGACTTGTTGACTGCTGAACGTGGGGGGACTTGTGTTTTGCTGGGGGAGGAATGTTGCTTCTATTTCAGTGAATCTGGGCTGGTAGAACAAGATGTACAAATGCTTAAGGAGCTCCGGGGGGGGACCTCCGGGCATGCTATGCTCCCAACACCCCTACCCCTTGGTACTCTAACCCCTTGATGGCTTGGATTCTTCCCCTCCTTGGCCCCATACTAGCCATTGGAGCCTTACTTCTCCTGGCACCCTGCCTCATTCAGTTTTTAAAGCAACAGATGAGTAGCATTGCAAAAGTGATATGTTAGTGAGGAAAACATAGTGACTATTTAGATTAATCAGATGTCATTACTCTCGAATTGTACAATTGTATTTAATTGATTCAGTGATTCCTTGCTTTCCTAGCCCAACCCTCAATTCCTATTACTCTTGGCTTGGTTATGCTACACCCCCAGGCCTGTGTGGTGTTTTCTTTTGACTTTCTCATCCAAAATTTTCACTACAGAAGACACCTCTCCTAAGAGAGGGAATTGTGGGTGGCGAACTATGAGAAAAGGTTGGATGCCTGGTAGAGGAGCTTTAGAACCCCGGCACCCTGATTTGGATAAAACCACTGGGACGGAAGGCGATTCGAGCTCTTCCTAGGCCTCTAGCTCTCTCAGCTTCAGCCCTCCACAGTCCCTTCCACAGAGAGGCCCACAGTCATTGGTCACATGGGAGTAACACCCCCACATGTGGCCTACATATATCTCCTATAATCTACACCTTCAGAGATGCCCCTTCTTTTATGAAAGAAAAGAGGGTGGGATGTTGACCTGTAGGACATCCTGGGGTGTTTGGCCACACCCCCAGAACCCAGAGACCTAACATGCAGTCTCCATTTAACCTGCATGCTAGGTCACATAAGGCACAGGTAGACAGCGTGACTAACAGACCTCTGCCTCGAGATTTACATATTAATGAATTACCTAAAGGCCAG